CCGGGGCTGGGGAGGGGGCGGCGGCGCCATCAAAGGCGTCGGGGAGGCAGGCCAGGTCTCCTTGGGGTGCGAGCCCGCCCCGGCCCCGCCAGACGCCGCGGGAATAATCGTTTCCGCTGACCTGGGGACGGAGGGAGGGAGGCGCGAACTTGAGCCAGCCAAGCCGCTCCGTCCCTTCCACGCCCATCCCCAGCCAGCCCGACCACCAATCCACATACCTAGAACAGATCCGCTTCTGAGGGGCCGCCCCAAGTGCCCGCCAGATTCCATCAGAATCCCCTCTTCTTGGTCAGAAGGTCCCTCAAGAGCGCCCGGATCTCTCCTGGGCCGGGTTCTCAGGTCCCCGCTCCGAGCCGGGCCCGCTGTCCGCCTGTCACCATCAAAGGCGCTGTTTACCACCCCTGCTATGTGCTAGACCTTACTCCAGGTTGGTCAAACAGCCTAGCGCTGTCCTCCTCCAAACCACCCCGACACATCCTGAATCCGAGGGGGGTGAAGATAAAGAAACCTCAAAGCGGGTAGGCCCACATCCTGAGCAGGGACGATGCTCCTGCCTGGAGTATCTGTGACTTGTCAAGAAGGATGGTGTAAGCTGGGCGGGTTGAAGTTGAGCCGGGTTAGCGCTCCGAGAGAGTCCCAACAGCGCTCAGAGCACTCCTTGAAGTTTCTGCTCCCTCTAATGCCTTTCCTTTGTCCCCTGGGGCCCATTTGAAGTTCCCGTTTTGTTTTATGCTGATTTGTAGTTTAATTATGACTTCTCCGTGAATTCATTTATTCTTACAAGTCGTCTCCCCGCTCCACCCACTCTCTGGTCCGGAGGATAGAACATGGAACCCGGAAAATCCTGAAGAAGTCGTCCACTGAGCTATAGCCTCTGCTTTCTTTTGAAATGTGTATGCATGTGTGTATGTGTGTGTGCACGTGCGCGTGCGTGTGTGCATGTGCTCGTGTGTGAAATCTTGCTAGGCACTCTGCAAAAGCTTTGGCTAGATCTTGGTTACTTAGTAGAGAGATCCGAGGCCTGCAAGGCTGCAACAGAAGGACACAGCACCAGAGTGCCGCTTCCACAGTCTCAAGGGAGCTCTCTACTGAGGGAGGGGTGTTCCACAGCCCAGCCCAGGACTGTTCCTGCTGGTTCTACAATGCTAATAGGAGGTCTCAGAGGAGAGGGCATGTTCTCTTGCGTGCTGTTCATAAATACAGCATGTTTGCTCCCACGCATGTGGGTCCCCAAGGAGGCCAAAAGAGGACAATGTGTCCACTGTTTCCAAGATGCTGGCTGTAAGCTGCCTGACATGGTGCTGAGAACTGAACCCTTGTCCTCTGGAAGAACAGCAAGTGGGCATATCTTCACGATGGGCAATCATTCCAGGTTTGAAAGCACAGAGTGATCTGAGAGCTGCTGAAAGTTCCAGGCTTGAGTTGTCCTGGCCTCCTGCATTCCATAGATCCTGAGAACCCCAGGCCGGCTTTTTCTGGCTAATCTAGTGGCTCTCCTCAGCCTTCTCTTCTTCTTCTTCTTCTTCTTCTTCTTCTTCTCCTCTTCCTCCTCCTCTTCCTCCTCCTCCTTCTCCTCCTCCTCCCCTTCCTCCTCCTCCTCCTCCCCTTCCTCCTCCTCCTCCTCCTTCTTCTTCTTCTTTTTACACAGGGGTTTTCTGTGAAGCCTTAGCTGTCCTAGAACTTGCTTGGTAGACCAGGCTGGCCTGGAACTCACTGAGATTCACCTGCCTCTGCCTCCCAAGTGCTGGGATTAAAGGCGTGCACCACCACTGCCTGGCTAGCTCCCAACCTTCTTAATGCTGTGGCCCTTTGTACAGTTCCTCATGTTGTGGTGACCCCCAACCATAAAATTATTATTTACTACTTATATGAATCATAATATAAATATCTGATATGCAGGCTATCTGATATGTGACCCCTGTGGGGTTGTTCAACTCCCCAAAGGGGTCCAGATCCACTGCTGATCTAACTCTTCCCTCAAACACACATACTCTCTCTCTCTCTCTCTCTCTCTCTCTCTCTCTCTCTCAGGCACACACTCCTCCAAACATCTCCTTTTCTTTCCTCTTCTATTTCTTTGCCAGACTCACAGAGTCTGGAATGGGAAATCAGATTTTTATTTTCTATGCCTCCCCCGACCCCATACATATATCAGGGTCTTGTGTATTCCAGGCTAGCTAGCCTCAAACTCTATGTAGCCAAGGATGACTTTGAACCTCTGGCCTTCCCACCTCCACACCTCAACACTTTAATTGCGAGACTTCCACATAATGCCTGATTTTATACAATATTGGAGATCAAACACCGACCTGCGTGTGCCAGGCAGGCACCATAGCAACTAGACTGTAGTCTTACAGCTTTCGTTTGTTTATTTAGAGACTGGGTCTCACTATGTAGCCCAGGCTGGCCTTGAACTTGAGATCTACCTGCCTCAGCCTCCTAAACAGGAAATTTCATACATGATTTTATTCTCCCCACCCACCCACCCAGTCTCCGTGATGCTGAGGATCAAATCCAGGGCCTTGCGCATGCCAACAGGGCCCTTACCACTGGATTACACGCCCAGCCCATCACTCACTTTTAATCCATTGTTTAAAATGAATTATTTAAAGGCAAAGACATTTATGGCTATGCTAGACTGTGCTTATGTATGTAGTAGATATGTGTGTTCCCATCTTACTCTTCAAGAAATACAAGCCCAGAGACCTGAAGAGATGGTGCACCAAGCTGACCTCCAGAAGTGACTCCATGGAAGAAGCACTGGACCCCAGTTACCTTGGAGGTGAGAGACGCCGGTCACTGCCACCTAGGAGCTGCTGTCCTTCAGCTGCAGTGATGGCTGCATTGCTGTACCTGAGGGATCAAGAAGCCAGCCTGGGCCAGGCAGTGGTGGTGCACACTCGGGAGGCAGAGGCAGGCGGATCTCTGAGTTTGAGACCAGCCTGGTCTACAAAAGCTAGTTCCAGAACAGCCTCCAAAGCCACAGAGAAACCCTGTCTTGAAAAACAAACAACAAAAAACAAAAAACAAAACAAAAAGAAGCCATCCTGGAAAGGAAACCAGAGGTCTGTGGCTGTTGCTCCTAGTGGGAACTTGCCAGCAAGAGCCAAACCTTCCAAAGAGACTCAGGCTGAATTCTGGGCTGTAGGAATCCTCCAACCTGAAAAGCATCACAGGTTCTTTGTCCATCCCTGTCCTCTGCCACCCTCTGCTTGCTGGAGAGGGGACCTATCAGGCAGGGAAATGGGCTGATGATTTGTGGGACATGGTTCTGTCCTTCCTTTATGTAAGCCCAGAGAGGAAACTCAGACTTGGTGGCAAGCACCTTGACCAGCTGAGCATCTCTCTGGCTCTGAACTGAGGATCTTCTTGCATGTGCTTGGACGTGCCTAAAATATAGTCCTTGCGCAGATACATAGAAGGCTCAGGTTGGACTTGGAAGTGATAGAAAGAAAAACTGTCAGGCAGGCAGATGGTGCACACCTTTAATGCCAACACTCAGGAGGCCGAGAAGGGAGGGTTTCTGTGAATGTGAGGCCAGCCGGGTTTATGTAGTGAGTTTCAGGACAGTCAGAGCTGTGTCATATAGAGAGACCTTGTTTAAAGAAAAGGAGAGAGAGAGAGAGAGAGAGAGAGAGAGAGTGCTTTTCATGTCCTTCAGCATTGCTTCAGTTATTTTAAATCATGTTCACAAAACCCAGCTGTGGTGGCAAATGCCTGTTGCCCCAGTACTTGGGAGGTTGAGACAGGAGGATCATACCAATTCCCACCTGCTCTACATAGGGAATTCCAAGCCAGCCAGAGCTACATAACAAGACCCTGCCTCAAAAACAAAAATAAATAAATAAATAAATAAATAAATAAGTTTGGGAATGCATTTTTTAAGCCTTTTGAGAATTCTCGTTTTATTGTTTTTGTTTTTTTTTGTTGTTTTGTTTTTTTGTTTTTTTCTTTTGAGACAAGGTCTTGCCATGCAATCCAGACTGTCCTGGAATTTTTTACCCTCTTGGCTCAACTTTCTTTCTTTTTTTAAAAATTTTCGAGATAGGGTTTCTTTGTCTAATAGTCTTAGCTGTCCTGAAACTCACTTTGCGGACCAGGCTGGCCTCAAACTCAGAGATCTGCCTGCCTCTCTCTGCCTCCCAAGTGCTGGGATTAAAGGTGTTCGTCACCACCACCTGGCCGGATTCATCTTTCTTATGCTGGGAATATAGCAAGGCAGTCTCAATTTTTGGATGAATAACTGTAATATAATATTCTGCATTGCATCCTGGAAAATAAAAAGACCATAAATGAAGAAAGGGACAACATTTGATTTAACAAGACCAACACTGCAGCATGCCCAAGGCCCTGGGTTTGGTCCCTGAAGAGCAAAACAAAAACAAACAAAACTTGACTTTTACAAAACTGAAGCAAAGAATGCAATGTGATCTATCGTACAGGGACATGTGGGTTTTCCCTTGTTCGCGTATGAGGGTCGGGGGTGGCGGCCACTGCAGGGAGTGTGCGAAAGCTCCCCTGTGCATTCACCTGCAATGACAGCGACCTACTGCTCCTTTGCCTCAGGACGTTTCATGAAGATTTTGTATGAGGGCTGACAAGATGGCTCAGTGGGCAAAGGCACTGGCCACGAAGGCTGTGGCCCAAGGCCGACCCCAGCACCCACAGAAGGGCCAGAGAAGAGAAGCAACGTCACACTTGTCCTCCCATGACACAAAGAGACCCCGAAATTAATAAGTACTTTGTGTGTGTGGCAAACGTGCACATACATGTTTGTATGTGTGTACATATGTGGGTGTGTGTACATGCTTGTATGTGTGTACATGTGTGGGTGTGTGTACACATTTGTATGTGTGTACATGTGTGGATGTGTGTACATGTTTGTATATGTGTACACGTGTGGGTGTGTGTACATGTTTGTATGTGTGTACATGTGTGGATATATCTACATGTTTGTATGTGTGTACATGTGTGGGTGCGTGCACATGTTTGTATATTGCGTGGATGCACTGCATGTCTGTGTGTGTGTATGTGTGTATGGATGCATGTGCGTGTTTGTGTGTGTGTGTGCGTGTGTGTGTGCCTGTGTATGGAAGGCAGAGATGATGTAAGGCGGTCTTCCTCAGTTGCTCTCTATCTTATTTTTAGTTTTTTTTGTACAATATATCCTGATTATTGTTTCCACTTCTGTCTTAGTTAGGGTTTTTTGGTTTTTTGGGTTTTTTTTTGTTTGTTTGTTTGTTTGTTTGTTTGTTTTGGTTTTTCGAGACAGGGTTTCTCTGTGTAGCTTTGGAGCCTATCCTGGCACTCGCTCTGGAGACCAGGCTGGCCTCGAACTCACAAAGATCTGCCTGCCTCTGCCTCCCGAGTGCTGGGATTAAAGGCGTGCGCCACCAATGCCCTATTTTTAATTTTTTTTCATTTGTCTGTGTACATATGTGAGTACGTGTGCCCATGCATGCGAGTGTAGTGTTGACAGGGACTAGAAGATAGCGTTGGAGTCCCTGAAGCCGGAGCTATAAGCTGTTGTGCTCTGCCCGGTGTAGGCTCTGGGAACCAAACCTGGATCCTCTGCAAGAGCAGCAAGTGCTCTTAACCTCTGTGCCAACTCTCTGGCCCCTCCAACTTGGCTTTTTGCTATGGGGTCTGTTACTGAACGCTGAGTTCGTGGATTTGGATAGAGGGACTGGGCAGCAAGCTCCTGGGGTCTGGTTGTTTCTTGTCTCCCAGCACTGGGACTCCAGGCATGTTCTCTTTTCATGCTGAGGATCCAAACTCAGGTCCCCATGCTTGAACAGAAAACACTCTGGCCACTAAACTACTTCCCCAACCCGATAAATATTTATTAAACTCAAGTTCTATGTTCTGCTGGCGATTTCTCTTCTGTAAATATATATTAAATATCAATTTCTTCATATTCATTTCTCTATGGGAAATATAAAGAGTCCTTCTTAATAATACCTTTAAATTAGCTGAACTTAGTGGCACACGCATTTAATCCCAGCACTAGGGAGGCAGAAGCAGGCTGACCTCTGTCAGGCAGAGCTCAAGACCAGCCTCAGCCTGTTCTACAGGGTGAGTCCCAGGACAGCCAAGGCTTACATAGTAAGACCCTGTCCCAAAACAAAAACCAACAAAATAATCTTTAAATTATACACACACACACACACACAGAGAGAGAGAGAGAGAGAGAGAGAGAGAGAGTTGCTTCATAGATACACTGTGCAGTTTAAGGCTCCATAAAGAACCTCACAAGGCAGAAACAGGTCAATACCCTGGGGACTGAAGAGCAGATTGAAGTTCAAGACTAGCTCAGACAGCCAAAGCTGATGTTAGGGTCTGGATTTGCCCTCTCTAACCCCAGGGCCAGCTCATATGACAAAATGTGCTAAATGCTTTGGGCCACTACTCATATTTAGTGTTGATAACATCTGTTGAAACAGACACAGGTGATACAGAAGGTGATCCTCAAACACACCTGTGCCATGGGGGGAGCCTTGGCTACCCAGAGCCAAGCCAGGCTGGGACAGACAATGGAGTTGTCACTATCCATTCTGAGTCTTCCATGCCCACCCCAGACCTTTCCATCCCCAACACCCAAATACCAGAGGTCTGTCTTCCCGCCCCAAGTGCTAAGTGCTCTCTTCCCCTGCTCTCTTTGTTGTTGGAGTTGGGCCCTCTCCCTGGGCTGCCCTGGACCTGGTGGAGGAGCCCAGGGTGTTTATTAAAAGGGAAACCAGGAAAGGGCAGCCCGGGGGAGTCAATGGCTCTACTTCCCCCTTGAGATCTCAGGGGCTCTTTGTCCCTTTGATCCCGGCGGCCTCACTTTGACTTCCTCTGCTCTGCTCCCCACCTTCAGTTTCTGAAGTTTATTTCACAGTCAGTGGTTACAATAGACAGAGACACGTCCTTCCAAAAGGCATAACGTGGTAAGCCATTAGAAGCCTTTCTGTGTTCTCCGGGCGGGAGGTACAAATTCATATGACTAACACAGCATCGCTTTTGATCCTGGCATGGGGAATCTTCAAAAAGAACGGCACCTTTTCCTCTTGCAGGTATTCATGCCTAACCAATAAGGTGGAAAACAGCCGAGAAAGAAAACCCTGGAACTGAAGATCTGAAGGAACTGTCGAGATGCTTGAAGGCAGGTGTGGTGGTGCACACACACTTGTCATCTCAGCAAGAGCCTGTGTCAAAGCATCAACAAGACAGAGCATTTGGTTCTCAAATCCATTGTCTGACATTGAGATGCTGGGACACCCCTACTGGGGCTTGAGTGGCTGGATGGCTTTTTTGTTGGTGTTGGTTTTTTCGAGACAGGGTTTCTCTGTGGCTTTGGAGGCTGTCCTGGAATTAGCTCTTGTAGACCAGGCTGGTCTCGAACTCACAGAGAGCCACCTGCCTTTGCCTCCCAAGTGCTGGGGTTAAAGGCCTGCACCACCACCGCCCAATGTGGTGGCTGGCTGGCTTTCACCACACCTGTGCAGCTGGCATGACTCACCTCTTGGAGATCTCCCTTAACTCTGCCCCAACCCTTTTCTATTAAGTGCTCCAAATATACTTTCACGTTGTCTCATTACTTTTACAAACAGTGCCACAGACAGCCCTCTTTTTAACTTGTTTGTGTGTTTGGGGATTAATTAAGCTCATTAACACTGGGACTTTGCTTGCTAGCTACCATTTCCCACTAAAGTGGGGGAAAATACTCCTTGGAGAAACAGCCCAGTCTAAGGTTGAAACAGCAAATATTCTGCCCTGGAATATTTAGACACAGATGAAAATGAGAAGCAGTGGCAAGCTGTGAAGGAGTAAGGACTCTAAAGAAACTATCTGGGGCTGAGGCAGATGATTCAGCAAGTAGAAGAGCTTGCTGCCCAGGAGAAAGCTGGTCCTGCAAACTGCCCTCTGACTTCTACAGATGGGTGTGGATTTGTGTGCGCCACACACACTAAATGTAACAACCTTTTTTTTTTTTTTTTTTTTTTTTTTTTTTTAAGAATTAACTGGTTTGGCCTGGAATCATTTGCCTAGCATATATGAGACCCTGACTTGAGTCGTCAGAGCCATAAGGAGGGGGAAGCAGAGAAGGAGGAAGGGGGGAGGGGGAGGGAAGGAGAGGAAGAGGAGGCAGTGCTGGGTTGCAACACAGTGGTAAGAGCACTATGTGTCCTATGTTGGTGATATGGGTC